TAAAACAGATTAAAGGCCAAAATGACAAAAGGAAGAGGATAGGATTAAGTAACTGGGTAACAAAGGATTTAGGAGAAATTTATTAAGAGCTACAAAGGAGAGTAAAATTGTGGAGAGCTATGATCATCTAAAGAGGCACATAAAGTACAGGGTGACCCCAAAAATGGGAATTTTTGAAGTGCGTATTGCCAAACATGAGCAAGTGGCAACACTGCGAGACAGTGACCTTGAGCAAGTAAACATTTCACCATTTAAAATTCAAGATGAAATTCACAGTATCCCAGCTGAGATGTTGTAGCAGTCAATGAGGAATCTCAACAGCAGATTTCAAAAATGCATTCGTACAGGAGGACGCCATCTACAGGATGTAATTTTTAAAAAATGAAAATTCTATCATTGTTTCTTAAATGACATATTTTAAGGTTTCAATTACTATGAATAAAATATTTTTCTTCCATCACTTTTGGTTTTATTGGATTGTTAAAAAGTTCCCATTATTTTGGGTCACCCTGTAGAAGGTGTCGTATTTATTTGCTTAAAGTAAACCTTTCCGCTATTCCCATTTGCAAGACATTTTAGAATTCTTAAATCATGCATTTGGAAATTTCTTTGCTTTTTATTGCTTGGTGATTCAAAATTAGAGTGAAGGTTAATTATCCTTTAAGGAGGTGACGTTGCTTCTTAAATGTTAGCTTCTTCTTCGAGTTTTATCTGAGGGTAAATAAGCAACTGCACACTGAAGGTGATAGGGGTTATTCACTAAGTGTCTGCACATGGGAAGAATGTGTTAAAATGCGGCAAAAAGAGCTGAGCACAAGAGCAAAGCACGCCCAGGAAGACGTTGTAAGTTGAAAACTGATTACATCACAGATACGTCTAATTATCCTGTTATCAAAAAGCCCATCTCTCGTTGGAAGCCTTCGGTGTCTAAAAACGAACAGTATATTTTCTTGCCCGAAACGTAAAAAAAAAAAATCGTTTTAAGCAATGAATACATGTTTTTAATCCGACGCCATTACTCATTACAACAAACATTATTTAGTGCGTACACGTGTTTTAGTAGACTTTTTTTATGTGTCGAATCTCTTTAGAACATGGGCAATCATGGCTCTCCATAGCTTCCTCTAACTTTGTATCTTTTATTAGTGTTGGCCTTGTTGCTATATCTCATTATCCCACTTGTGATAACCATTTACACAAGTGTTGTAGCATACCTACGGACGATAATGGGTATGTCCCCATTCACGTAAATACAGTAGTAAATACTGTATATTGGTCTGCAGTTGAAGATTCGTCTCCAGCCGTGCTGGTCAAACTCTCTACCTCCGGGCAGAGAGGATCTCCAGACGAGGCTATATCGAAGGGCAGAGTCTCGTCTCGGGAAACAGTTACCCTAGCACGTTTTATACGGAGTCTACGAGGAATTTTTCGCCGAGCGTACGGGCTCGGATACCCCTCATTAAATTAGGCTTTTGTGCCACATCTGACTGCGTAAAGCGATTGGTAGATATCCTGCAGGCGGAGATTCGTCTCCAGCTGTGCTGGTCAAACTTTCTGCCTTCGGGCAGAGTGAATTCCCAGACGAGGTCATGTCGAAGGGTAGAGTCTCGTCTCGGGAAACAACTAGCCGACACCGTTTTATACGGGATCGACGGGGAATTTTTGGCCGAGTCTACGGGCCCGGATACCCTACATTAAATTCGACCTTGTGTCACATCTGATCGCGTGGGGGCGCTTAGCACTTATCCTGCAGTTGGAGATTCATTGTGGAATTCACTTGACTCATTTCTGACAGTCGACTACTTCTACGCGCCGCTGGCGAATCTTATTTGTGTTGTTCGTATCCTAAGCATTATTAAACTTATAAAATTTTAAGAATCGGTTTGAGCCAACCGTTACGAAGTGCTAGGTTGCCACCACTGGTCTTAGGGTCTGACCATTACCCGGGCAAGAGAGCCTGACGGAGTTCAACCTTCTCCAGGTTGGTTTTCCTTCTCATAGAACGGTTAATATCCAAGGTAAAGTTCAGTCCATTCTGCTATTTACCCATAGATGGGGTGGGGAGAAAAGATGAATTCTTCACTTTCCCAAGGTAATCAGCATGTAAGTGAATGTAATGAGCTTGACTGCAATTCGAACGCGGTTCTCCAATTCCTCAACCCGAGTCGCTATCCAAACACTGCAGCATGCCTCAAAATGGCCTATTAGGAAAACAAAAATAGACCTCTTCCTCTGTAAGGACGTGTGGTCTAGAGATTTATCTCATGAAAACCCTTGCAATCATATTGCGATCAGGGCAGAGTAAATGAATTTTTGTTATAGACTCAAGAATTGTCAAGCTTCAGACCGGTACCTGATATCGTCTTTAAAAGACTTCCATTCTGGTCATCAATGTTAATTTTTACGAATTCCGGTACTTCCATAAGATATTCAGCGAATTAATATCGTAATCATTATATTTAAGATGGAATATTTTTTTATTCTTCGCAAATGGAATACAAACGGGGAATGTCAGTTCGAATTTTGTACTCGGTGAATAATGATGCCATGAACTTATATTAAGAAATTGTGAGTCGAAAAAAATTTTACTAGAAACAATAGCGTCAGCCTAATGCTTATCGATATGCACATCAGTATTTCATTAGATATCATAGAGAGAAGCGGTGTTAAACTCCATGACTTTTTGAAAGCGTAAAAACAAGAAAAAAGACGAGATGAAAAAAAGAATGTACATGATATACGCATTTTTTTTCCTTAAATATCAAATATCTCCTCCTGTCAAGAAAAATCAAGGTGCTTCATTCATGTTTCAAATTTGAGCACAACAAAAGAATCTTTACGTTGCCCCTGGTGCATTTCGCATTTCCCACGTGCTGAAGACAATAGGCACACTGCTTTCTTTAGACAATTGACTTCTACCAATAAGAAAACTGTTCCCAACAAATTATCTATCTATCTATATGTTATCTATACCTATATTTATCTATCAGTTATATATATATATATATATATATATATCTACTCTCTCTCTCTCTCTCTCTCTATATATATATATATATATATATATATATATATATATATCTACTATATCTCTCTATCTATCTATCTATCTATATATATATATATATATATATATATATATATATATATATCTCTCTCTCTCTCATCTATCTATATATATATACTTCTCTCTCTCTCTCTATCTATCTATATATATATATATATATATATATATATCTACTTTCTCTCTCTCTATATATATATATATATTATATCTACTTCTCTCTCTCTATCATATCTATCTATCTATATATACTTCTCTCTCTCTCTCTGTATATATATATATATATATATATACTTCTCTTTCTCTCTATCTCTATCTATCTATATATATATATATCTACTTCTCTCTCACTATCTATCTATCTATATATATATCTACCTCTCTCTCATCTATATATATATATCCTTCTCTCTCTCTCTCTATCTATCTATATATATATATATATATATATATATATCTCTCTCTCTCTCTCTATATATATATATATACTTTTCTATCTATTCATCTATCTATCTATATATATATATATATCTCTCTCTCTCTCTTCTCTCTCTATCTATCTATCTATCTATCTATATATATATATATATATATATGCATGCCTATCAATTTGTATCTTTATATTTCTCTATCAAATTCTGCTATTTATAAATTTGCTTTTATATACAGTGTGCTATGGATAAATTGTCGTCTAAATTGCGCAAAACTGATTAACACACTGATATTTCATTTTAACAGATATAATTACACAAACATACGTTGGAATACTAAAGAGTAAATATATTCAACCACGGCCTCCAGGCGATTGTGGAATCTCCTGCAACTCTTCTGGATGGTCTCCTTGTTTAAGTTGGTTGTTGCTGTCATAATCCTTGCCTTCAGTTCATATTTGGTGTTACAAAGAATTTTATTAGTCTCTAGCTCAAAATCTCAAAGGTTGCAGTCTGTGGGGTTAGTTGGCCGATGAAACGTGTGATGCAGTTGCAGAAATTGTCTGACAGCCATGACTGGGTTCTCTTTGTGTGGTATGGTGCAGAGCCCTGTTGCCAGACACACACACACACACACACACACACACACACACACACACACACACACACACATATATATATATATATATATATGTATATATAATAAAAGTAATAAAACCGTTGTTATATAATCCAAGTGGTTCCTACTAATATAAAATATTAAAACGGAATCACAAAAAGAGTAGAATGTATTTAATATTAGAGAGCGAATAATTATCACAAAATAAAATTCAAAATTACCTCATATGCGGAATAGGCTTATTTCAACCGACGGAAACTTATTCAACCCCGCTATAGACTGAGTTCGTGTCAGAATTAGAAATATAAACTGTGGGAAAAAAACCCTGTCTATATATAGAGAGGTAGATGGATGAGGAATATAAGATTTCTGAACTTAAATTACTTCTGAGAGAAAAATTATTTCTCTGTATACCTGAAAACTTTATTTCTGTTTGGATTGATATCCGTTGAATTATAGAATTTTATGATATGCGTATGTACCATTATTATTATTATTATTATTATTATTATTATTTCTGCTATGGACACACTACCTACCAAGTCTGCGGAAAGACCTAAGGCAGGTCGTGGTGTGTTGTTATGGCCACATTTCATGTTAATTTTTTTTTTTTTTTTTTTATCTCCGATGAAGTTTAGCGTTACATAAACAAAGTTCTCCTTAGTGTGTGTGCTGTACTTATTATTATTATTATTATTATTATTATTATTATTATTATTATTATTATTATTATTTTATAACACACACACACATATACATATATATAGTCAGAGTCGTCACTCGAGTTTCATACTCGATTGATTTTCCGATGACTAGTAACCAAATGAAAAATGCGGGGTTCTAGTTATATATACCAATGAGTGCATTACTCCCACCTTAAAAGCTCATGTATATCCCCTCCCCCATGTTTTTCTTTTGCTTATTTTCTTTCCCCCTGATGATTGTCTATTATTAATTAGCTTATTTCCGATCTGCGTTGTTTACTAACGTTCGTAGAATAATAGACCGAATTCATTTCGTGTTTAGGACGCAGTTTCGAAGTTATCTCAGAAGAATGTAACAGATGCGATAGACGAAAGTCTGACTGAAGAAAAACTTGAAAAGAAACGTCAAAATCTGAGATGAGGTATTGTATCTACTTACTTACTATGTATTATTTACATTGGTCGGACTGTTGTCCTCAGATTTATTGTCATATTCTACCGAGGTAGATTGTTCTAGTTCCACGTGCCACGCCTTTTCTGCATATCTCAGTTTCAGTTATTTCCCTTTAGCGACTCAACTCTCCAATTTTTTGCTCACCCCTTCTGTAGCCAGTTATTTCCCCAAGGACACATGGCTCAGTGGATAAAAACGCTGGCTGAAGTAATACAGTGACTTGGCCCAAAGAATTGTGAGTTCGGTACCTGGCCACAGAAGAGGTGAACAAAAAGCTTGGAGAGTAGAGTTACTAAAGGGAAAGAACTGAACAGAGATATTCAGAAAAAGGCATGACAATCTATCCTATAGGATGAAATAAAATGTTCACTTCGAAATTCCAACGTATATCACCTGAAGAACACCGGTCCGTACAACGCTCGAAACGTCGTGAATATGGCAATAAAGATAAGGGCAATAGTCAAAACAATGTAAAAACTATAAATAGAAACACCAAAAGTAAGTCAAGGGGCTAATACTTTATGCATTAAAGTCAATTTTACACGGACGTAAGGCTGCTTCCCTTCTTTTTTTTTTTCTATAAATAGTTTAATGGTACCTTTTCTGGTGAGGTTTCCTATTTCGAATCTAGAATTTACGAATTTAAGCAGAGTGCTTCATTGACAGATAGGTCTCATCATTTTACATTTGAAAATGGCGAGAAGAACTGTAAGTTCTATGCTAATAGTTCCTTCTATAGTATTCTGTTTCGGCTTTTTGTTTTCGACTCTGGTCTTCAATTGTTTAAATTAAACATTATCTTCCGTCTTCTTCCTGCTCTTTTATTGTCATCTTCAGTTAATAATTGTTCTTCCTCAGATTCTTCTAAACTCAGTAACCTCTTGAATCTTAGTGGGACCATCTTCTTGCTAGGGGTGAAATGACTGAAAAAATATTTTCAAATTGTTCTGATTGCTAAATATGGGTTGTTATTATTAAATAGTTGCCAGATCCCTTCAGGTTGCAGGCGATCATCACTATTCACGGACGCCTGTCTTCTTTATTGAATTTAAATTACGATGCCTTCGTGAAGAAAAAGTAAAGTGACTTCCTGTTGCCTTCACAATGGTTTAGCAGTCAGAGTTTTGGGGAAACATAAAAAAACCCAAAGTTTTCTTTAGTTAATTTTGGATATTAAGGAAAGATTTTCATTCTATTGGTCTCCAATGAAACATAAGGAAATTACACTGTTTGCTCGGTTCCTGTTTAGGTCCCATCATTATGAAGTGTCCGAAAAAATTACATCATTTTATAGTTTAATAACGGAGCAAATTTTCGCTCAAAATATCTCAAATTTGACTATAGCTAACATATCTCAATGGAAATCTTCCAGTAAGATAGATCGGTGATATCGACAATGTGCTGTCCAAAACCTCACTATGTTCACCTGGCTTGACAACTTGTGATCTTTTTCTATGGGGCTATGTGAAAGAACTGGCGTATATCTTCAGACAAGCCTAGAGGAAGTTAAGCAGAGACTCACTGAGGCACTGGAGAATGTTACGCAAAACATGCTGCAACGTGTTTGGCAGAAGCTGGACTCCTGACCTGACATGTGACATGTCACAGGTGGTGCACATTTTGAACATTTATGAAACTCTGTGAAATCGGTTATAAAATTTATATCTCTTTTAAGATATCTTGTTCGTATTTCGATAAATAAACATTTTATTGTCTAACATGAAGCCTATTTAATGCCGTTTGCCTGGAACATGTAGTTGCTCAATCACATTTAAAATGATGTCAGTTTTGGGGAGGACACCATCTATATCATGTATGTATTAATTTCCTTTTATTCATAGCTCTTATTCGTTTTTTCTTCTGTGCGTCCCTCCATCAATCGAGTTCGCTGCCGCAAGACAAGATTTTTAATGTAGTCATTTTACGTTTTCCAAATCAATCCCGAACCCTCTGTTCTAGAGAGCACCGAAAACGAAATTCAGCCGGCTAATCAGCGGTTGGTGGCAGCCATCTGACTCAAGGCAGTTATCGAGATTGACAAACTAGAAAAGGCTGTATCACTTACAGTCGTGTCAATGTCACCTGCTTCCACACTTATCAGCATTACCACCAATTGACTTGATCGATACACGTCACTCTGCGCTTTGTCCCTGGGGTTTATTTGACCTGTACATCTCATGGCGATGGCCCTTGTCGATTGTGCTAGAAAAATGAGATTGAAATTACCAGTATAGAAATACTCACTGCTGTTGTAGGCATCTTTGGCCACTTATAAGGGTCGTGATTCGGTTTTCATAAAGATGAAGCGGTTTTATTCGCAAATTGACAGAAAGTTTCGTGTAATAAGAAAGAAGTATAACAACAGAGATTTTATCTCAGTTACTTCATTTTCTACATGCCTTATCTCTCTCTCTCTCTCTCTATATATATATATATATATATATATATATATATATATACATATCAGCCACTTGATTTTCTTTCTATCTATCTATCTATCTATCTATCTATCTATCTATCTATCTATCTATCTATCTATCTCAGTCACTTGTTTTTCTATCTATCTATCTATCTATCTATCTATCTATCTATGAATGGTGGACCAAACATTACCCCTTCTTAATTTTACGTTTACTACTGACAGGAAGTGGAGCGTTTCTACTGAAGCAATTGCTCGGTCTGCCGCTAGGAACTTTGATGTACCCTGTGGTGCTAGACACTTTTTCTCCTCGGCATCCATCTTGTACGTTTATAACTTCGTGCATTTAATATTGCTGCCATATCTGGTTTAGTGCTTCTTCAATATATCTCCAGATTCTCGACAATACCAAAAAATTGTCTGTAATTTTACCGGTTCTGACCTGGCATCTCGACATTAGTCACATTCCCATCGCCGTGGTGTTGTTTCTTTCTCTTTTCCATAAGTATTTTCATGTCGGTTGTTCGAAAAATAGATTTTTCCTTGGTACCTCGACCGCGCGAATTTAAGCGAACAATTGGAGTGGCTGTTGAAATAGCTAGACGTTACAGTAAGTTTTGTTTTAATAGTTTCTTTGTTCACCTGTGGAAGCCTTTTCCTGTTTCTTTCTCTCGTATCATCTACAATCTTCAAATATTTAGATGCAAATAAGGCCCTTGAGTTCAAGGAAGGAATCTCCCATGTCTTGCTTCTCGGTCCAGCTCTCTTTCAGTTTTGCACTAATGACCTGCTCCGAACATTTGTGAATAAATATGCAGGTGATGTTGCGGTATATGCGTGCAGCTGCACAAATTTTACCTGACCATTGCCTTGAAGATGATCTCTACACTGACCTAGTTCTAACAGCTCAATGACGGGAACAAAAAAACTGGCAGGTCAAATTCAGTAACACAAAAACCAAACTGATAACGTTCATCATCGAGCAATGAACGGGAATTCTTACAAAGATGACCCTTGCCTTGCATCTCCGTGTATATATATATATATATATATATATATATATATATATATATATATATATATATATTCGATGTGGTTTAATGGTTACCTAGCTTGTCTCGTTATATATTCGATCCTCACTAGTGCTCTATACTTTCGGCTTTTTGAAATCCATTAATAAACTAAGATCTCGTTGAATACTTTGTTCAAATTTTGATAAATAAACCTTATATTGTCACTTGACCCTCTTCTAAAATATTCTAGAATTTCCATGAGCAACAAGGCAAATCTCATCAACGCCATTTTCCTACCAACGTTGACATATCAGTGCCAGACATGGCTCCTCACTGATCACTTGTGAGATGAAATGCCCGAGGAAAGCATTGAACAAGACCAAGCGAGACAAGATCAAGAAGGAGGTAATAAGGGATATGGTAGGAGCAATATCAAACATCGAACGACAGAGGATCAAGTGGTTCGGACACCTCACTCGAATGCCTATCAACCAACCAGCCCTACGTGCATACACCCTCCGATTCTCTGGTTGGAGAGCGAGAGGCAGACCGAGAAGACGTTGGAGCGACTCAGTGGCAGGCGCTATCAGAGCAGACGAGATATCTCTCCTCCACTCCACTCGGCTTGTCGCTGACAAACGACTGTGTCTCCCCGGGACGCCTATCAGCACAAGCGGAAGGAAGAAACTAAACTAAACTATATTGTCGAAGACGAAGCCTATTTCATTTCGTTTGCTTGGGATGTAGTTACTCAGGTATTCACATTTTACAAGCTGCCAATGTTTTTGGTACACTCTCTGTATTACGTTTATATCAAGTAACTCGGTTTTATTCATGGGTTCGTTTTTTTTTCTGTTCCTCTTAGTGAATCGGTGTGTATGTGTGAGAGAGAGAAAACATGATAAAATTTCTGGGCCTGCTCTAATTCGCAAAATAATTCAAAGGACTAAAAATCAAAATGTAGAAACAACCTTTCTTGATTTCGTCGAAAATATCCCTATTCTGTATCTAATTGATTGTTTCTTTCTTTCACCATTTTCTTTATGTATGTGAATGACAAAAGGACAACTTATCTTAGTAGACCAGTTTCGTTCTCTGGTGGACTTTTTTAAAGCAAATGCAAGTATTTTATTTTGCAACAAGTAATTATAAACAAACTTAAAAATCTCGTTTGTTTTCAGAATGTCTATCTTAATAACACTCATAAATATACATCAGGCTAACTGTAAGTCAAGGTAAATTGTGGAAAATACTAAATGATATAATTTAAAGTGAGTTGGCATTTTTTATGATCTAATTATTATTGACTAGAAATGGCAGGTTTTCTAGTTTTAATTTTCTGAATAATCCTTATTCTTAATTTAATGATTGAATAAGCTTATGGTGAGTTTTAGGACTATAAATTGTACGTAGAAATTCTTCTGGTGCATCGTCAATTTGAGATTAGCGATGAAAAGATTTGAAATTGACAAGCTTTTTCCATTTCAATAAAACAAACGATAAACACATGAGAGAATTATCGTCTCTTTTATCTGCCTTCTTTCTGTCTTTTTTCCCCACTAAAACCAAGTCGCGTCTCTCTTCATGTGCAATCGAAAAAAAATAGATTATTATTTATGAAATATTGGCAGGGAGTAACGTCCGTGCGTGCTAACTAGAGAACTAAGGAAGTTTTAGTTTTAGATTAATTTATGTATTATACATTTTAAACAACAGGAGATTTTGAATTTAATAGTTTTTTTTTTTTAGAATCATTAGCTTGGAAAAGGAGGCTTACTTACTTACGGAACGCAGATCTATATTTTGGTTTCCGATAGTCGCGCTCTCAAGAATTTTCCATCTAAGTAATTCCCTTTCTGTTACGATTTTTAAATTTCTGCAAGTTTCCCCAATGTATTGTGAAGAATAATTGTGACAGTATATTTTATATATACATGCTCCAAAATTATTAATTTGGTGGATATATGATCATATCCGGATGGTTTTGAATGTGCTTGCAATTATATATATATATATATATATATATATATATATATATATATATATATATATATAGAGAGAGAGAGAGAGAGAGAGAGAATATTAGTGGTGAACATACACATACATATGAAAATATATAAATATATATACATACATGCATACACATACATATATATTTTATGAATAAAAAAATTCCAAGAGGATAGAATCCAGGTGGAACTCAATGTTCAGGACAGAGTAAGGATATAATAAAAAGGCTTAAACATTAATATTCCATGGTCATAAATTATTCCATTGGAATCGTAAATACAATCCAATTCATCAGACCTACAAATTAAAAAAGAAAACAGAAAAAAACAACTCCGGAAAAAAAATAGAATTTAGAGAGAGTGTAAGTATGAGAATGTGGGACGAATGTTAGAGCTAAAGAGAGGGGTAATAGATGAGAGAAGGTGGGGAATTAAAACTTAACAGAGAGAAGTTTTAGAGAGGTGAGTTAAGGACGATTTAAGTGAGAGAAATATGAATGTTGTCGGATGTCTAATACATTAAAGATTTAACCGGAAATGATACATTTTGTGGTGACATACACACAGAATAGATGATCTAATGTTAAAGATCAGATGAAGAGGGAGGGAGGGGGATGAAAAGAAAAGAAGAAGGGGTGGGGGAGAGAGATGGGGTGGGGGAACTAAAACTGAAGGGCATTTACTGAAAGGGCCGCTATGTAATTAAGAACATTTGACAAAATTAATATCGACTACAGGTTACAAATCAATTATAAACATATAAACAATAAATATAACGATTATCAATTCTAGCAAGGACCTATATTTTTATGTTCAAAAACACATGCGTATACACACATACACAATAACATATACGCGTACATACATATAGGCGGGTACCCACATACACTCATATATATACCCATGTACACACATACACATATATCCATATATATATATATATATATATACATATATATTTTCTCATATACATATACATACATACATACATACACATATATATACATACACATACATGTATATATATATATATATATACATACATACATAAATACACACACATACATCCATACACAACGACACCTACATATATATACACATTTACACACATATATACATACGGACATACACATACGTGCACATAAACATATATACATAAAACCTGACATCTCCATACAATTACATACACCCATCTAAACAAATAAACAATGTATCCCTATATCTATCCGTCTAACTATACATACATACATATATACATACATTTACACCCATATACAGATATATATGTCTACATACATACCAAAACATACACACACATATAAATACATCTCACACATATAAATACATCTACATATACATCTACCTACATATACATACATATACATATATATATATATATATATATATATATATATATATATATATACATATATATACGCATACATATACACACACATACACATACATATACATATACACACCTACATACATACACACATATACACACATGCACACACAGGTACGGACATATATATATATATATATATATATATATATATATATATAAATCAAAATGTAAAATCTAAAAAAGTAAAATTAAATGTTTACGATTCCAATGGAATAAATTATGACCATTGAATATAAGTGTTTAAGCCTTTTTTTTTTATTATATATATATATAAATATATATATATATATTATATATATATATATATACACAAAAACACACACACACACACACACACACATATATATATATATATATATATATATGATAATACAACACCAAAATATCTATCAATATGAGGATACCTTCAGGGCGTTGGCAATCATGGCTCTCTACAATTTCCTTTCCTCTGTAGCTCTTAATAAATCTTTTCTTTATTATCTCTTACATCTGTCCTGCCATTGCTCCAGCTCGCAAGGCAGATGGTGTATTGTTTCCAATGTTCATCTTGCGTTCAATATAACCTGTGAATACCACATTTTCCAAGCCCTCTATCCTCAATATGTGCCCAAGAAAATTCAACTATCTCTTTCTGATGTTAAGTATAAGTGTCATTTATGCTTCCATTTTCTCTAAAACTTCGTCGTTGCTCATATGTTCGATCGTAAGTATTCTCAGTATCCTTCCGTAGGACTATATTGATGTGGCT